AGGCCTTGTTCACACCAAATGCAGACCAGATCCGGTCAGGTTTCTGCACACGCAGTGTAGTGGGTTGTGCCGCGTTTTAGACGCGTTTTGGATGCGTTTTTGATGCGTTTAGAGCCGGTTTTGGTAAAAAAAAATATATATATATTTTTTTTAAGTTTAACATGGACTTTCAGGCACTTGCATGCGTTTTTGATGCGTTTTAGCGTTTTAGATGCGTTCCAGACCAGATCCAGAGCAGGTAAAATAGGGCTTGCCGCATTTTTTTCATACGGTCTGGATCTGGTCTGGATCCGCACGCTGCGATGTGAACTGGAGGTCAAAATACCATAGGAATACATTGGACGCAGTTTTGATCCGGTCTGCACCTGCTCTGGTCCGGATCTGCTCCGCGCTTGGTGTGAACAAGCCCTAATGGTGCTGATAAAGTTGATTCACTGAATGAAACTTAACCTGCAAGTAAAATGATAAAATCTAGAGGAATAACAGGCACAGCAGTGTCTTGTCTGTGAAAGTCATCTTACCTCTGACAAGCTTGACACGTGTCAATCTTTCCTTGAAGGTAGAATAACTCAAATACTGATATTTGTATTTCAGGAGCCGAAACGAAAGTGGACAGCTATGGGGCTTTAGTAACAAGGGCTCAATCTTTCCCAAGGTATGTCAGTAATTTCCATCAAGCTTACTCGAAGAACAGATGATTATGGCTGTATGTGCATTGTATCATTGTTCTTGTGTTTTTGCCATTTGCACAGGAAGGCGTTCTCAGTTCTCATTGCAAATTGATACTTTTTGTTGTGTATGAGTACCAAAACAAATGTTAAAGTGTATGTCAGCTGGGCTTGGGAGTGCTAAGATGTAAAGAAGAATTGTAGTACAAACAAAAATTATTCTAAAGAGCCTTTCTGATCCTTAAATCTAAGGGGCTTATTCACAAAGCTGCCAAAGGCAGCCGAGTGAATAACCCAGTCGAAGTGAAATGAGCTGAACGCTGTTCAGCTATTCACTTCTAGCTTGTCCGGCTGATTTCAGCCGTACCACGGCTGAAATCAGCCATAAATCGGCTGCATGTTCGGCTGAGCCGAAGTGGAGAAGGACTTCCACTCAGCCGATCCAACATCTGGATCGACTGAGCTGAAGCTCCAGCTGCTCACTTGCTGCCGTTTGCCCCTATTCACATATGCAGAATAGAAAATAGTAGAAATTAAAAAAAAGGTTAAATAAATATTTTTAAAATGTTAATAAATAGTGAAATTAAAAAATATATAAAGATATTTAAAAGAAGAAAAGAAAAACAATTGGGCGGAGCTAGCAGTGACAGCTAGCTCTGCTCAACTGTTTCCTATCGGCCGGCACCTGCTAGAGTCTTCTAGCAGGTCCCAGCCAATGAATAACAGTTGTTATTGTTTAATGACAGATCAGCATCCCCAGGTCATTTGGGGACACTGCTCTGTCATTACAACTGGGCGGAGCCAGCCATGGGATCACGGCTGGCTCCACCCAGCTGTAATTTGCGGGGCTTACGGTCGGCCTTTGGCAGGCCGTTCACCTCGCTTCGGCTATCATTTCGGCTCAGTCAAGCCGAAGCATGTGCCTTTGGCTCGGCTGAGCCACTCGGCCGCCTTCGGCTGCTGTACGGGCTATAGTGAATATTGGTGGCCAAAGAGAGCCCAAGGATCAGCCAAAACTACGGCTGGATACTTCGTTTCCTTCGTGAACAACCCCCTAAATAATTGGCAATTTTGTTTCAATGAACGAAGCTGGGACAAATGCTAATATTGAACATGACCTCCAACATCATGTCCCTTCCCTGTGGACTTGGTCCTTACATAGACAGAGCAAGCAGGTTTTGCAAATTTTCATAACAGGCCCTGAATAGATTGCAACACCATGGATTGCTCCATGCATTAAAATTTAAAGCCCATCCCAGGCAAGTCATTTTTGGTTTTGGTTGCTAAAGGTCAGAACATCCCTCAGAGTTATATTGTCTGTGCCCCCATTGGAAAAATTTCCCCTTTCTAAATGGGACAGAGACAACAACAAAAATACAATTTTCAGTACAGTGACGGTGGGTTAGAATATTCTTCAGGTGTCATATTGGTACCTTTGTCTTCCTGTCTCACTAACAGTTGTTCTTCTTTTTTTCCTGGAGTCACAGGGACAGGAATTGAGGGGACATTTTTTATACAGAAATCATAGACAACAATAAAATACCCACAGAGGCTTTAACCCCTTTTTCACCTTAAGACATGGACCTGTGTCTAGGGCAGCAAGGTTACAGGGGACACCATAATGATTCAAAATGTACAGGATGTGATTTTGTTTTTCAGATTTTGTTCCCTCTTCCTTGTGCTTCTGGACCTTTGTTTCTAAATTCAGCAAGAGAACTTTAGGGTATGCATTGGATGGTCAAATGAGTCAGAAGATCCCTTATAGTCCAGAAAACATGACACTATTTCTCATTTTCCCTTGTTTGGCGATCCGTACAGGTTAAAGCAGTTCTGCATTTAAAGAAGACCACATATTTGGCTGCTTTTTCCTGCTAATCAAGGCATAAGGGGCAAAGCTTGTACAAAGGGATGTAATCTCTCTTGTTTGCTTAGGGTAGCTGGTGCCCAAATACACTTGACCCTTCCTCACTCTATCAAAAACAGGAGGTGTGCTAAATGGTGCCTGTTGAGTTGAACGTACGGTTGGCCGTGCAGACATGATCTGACTCCCCTTAGGCTTTGCTCTAAGATGGCTTGCATATGAACTTGACATTTGGCAGATATTGTCAATGGCACTTATTGCAGGAAGGAACAGTAGCAAACAAGACATTTTCAAACCTCCTAAATCCATCATTTCCTCAGAAACTGGTTAGCCAAAGACTGGATTTAGTGAGTGTCATCCCATAACCGTAGGTGGCCTAAGGACTTAATTCAATCTTAGTGCTGCTTGTGTATACTAAAATATCCCATTCTACAACATCTTTTGGTCAGTGGTTTTCTGAGACTCCTTTATCTAAACCTACAATTATTAATAAAACAAAATATAATCTACTGTAAAAAAGCAAAGCCAGACAAAATGTATACCTCTCTTCTGGAAGGAGAAGGCCAGACCTCTAATCCTCACTGGCGCTTTGGAACCCCATTGTGGATGGGGTCCCAAACCCAAACTCCAACCCCTTGCCCCTGTACTAGGCAGTATTTATGTACGCTGGATTCTTCATAAGAAAACATGAAAAGCTCAGGCCAGGGAAAACAGTAGTAGCTTGGGTTCAAGTCAATCTCTCAGCCTATCAAGGCCTATAAAGACCATGCCATTGGTTGGTGGCGTGCCCTGAGATATCAGGGATTCAGTTAACTGTGGTCACCAAGTCAGAGATGGAACAGTGCCACAATCCACCCAAAAAAAAAAAAGTCTATTTGGGCTTTAGCAGGTATTGGGCTTTAGCATAGTTAACAGCAGACATACATCTACAGAGAAGACAACCTGTATCCATGGACCTTCTAAAGCAATTGCAAAGACAGACCAGCATGCAGCTAATTAGAACATTATAAAGCAAATCGTTATAAAAGTGACCATATTGACAGCTAAAGATTATATGCATACATCTACATGAAACCACAATCATATATTCAGTTTATTTCTTTATATTTTATATGCTTTTCAAACTTCAAGGTCACTGACATTCAAATCAATATCCTAAGTGCTAAACCATTGACATTTAAATATGTACTTACACATATATTAAGGCACTATTCAGTTTATTTTTGGTATCCAGACGTTAATAAAACTAAACATTTCACAAAACCATTATGCTAACATTCCTGTCTTTTATCAGTTTGACAGACTAAATAATTACAGAATGTTAGAAACAAGGACACATAGGAACACATAAATGGATCTTTTGCTCGACAAGACTTATTGATGAAAATGGAGATTACTGTTCTACAGTAGTTTCATCTGAAAAAAAACACTAGAAGACTGAATAGATGAAGTGCTGCAGCAGTCATGTGACGTGGCCCCAGTACGTATATTGTGGCTTGCATTGTTTTAAAATCCAGAGTTGCTTAGTGCCCTGTTGTCTATAACTTAGGGCAGAGCTGGATCAAGTCTAGTAGCACATGTGCCTACAAAATTATAGCTGCAAACTAATTTACTAATGTTTTTTTTTAGAAACATGCTTTGCGATTCTATAGAGCTGAGCTCTTGGAATACTTTATAGCCATTGAGCAGTTATCAAAGCGTGTAATCAAAATAAATCAGGTACTGAAAGTGTTTAAGGGTTGCATTGCCTTCTTAACATTTGGGTCACATAATGCAGTAGAGCAGCTCCAAAATGTCAAAAATGCCAATAGGCAGGCAAATGGATTCCGATTGTGATGTCACTGCAACTTTTTGGGCTCCTCATACCAGCAGCTCTTGCAGCTTTGCAATCTTGTGGGCATGCATGGACTTGACACATGGAGCAGCTCTACCCTCTTGTCTCCAATACCGCTGCTGGAACGTAGGTGCCTGGAACAACTGCCGCCAGAGCCTTCACTCAACAATAGGTAAAAAACGGCATCCGTAAGGGGTCCGTCCATACAATACTTTATTTTCAAAAGGGCATAAAAGCAGCCAACAAACGAATGCTAACGCGTTTACGACTAAGGCCCAGTTTGGGGGCTGAAACGCATTAGCATTTGTTCACTGGCAAATTTACATACTGGCTGGTTAAAATAAATATTGAAATGTCTCCCAGAATCTAATTAAAGCATATCTAAACCCAAGAACAAAGATTTTATATATTGCAGCATAACAGATGTGGTGCCAGCCTTTTGAGGCTTTTTTCCTTTGTTTTCACCTGGTGATCCTGCCAGTAACACTTCCTAGGGTGACAATGCCTGACTCATTTTACTGTATGTATGGAGGAGCAGTATTTTTACCTCAGGATAGGTAGTGTTTTAGGACTACAGAACACCTCCACATCTCATTTCTATAATGCATTGAGAGGTGTTCCGTAGTCTAAGCAGAGAGAACTGGGATCAATGCTAACTGATAGGAGCACAGCCCAAGAAAGGTAAGACGTAATGCTACAGAGCAAGAATAGCCAGCAATGATGTCTCCATTACAGATGACAGATCTTTTTTAATAACGTTGAAATATTTTCTTCCTGGCAGACTAATCCCGAGTTTGTTCTGACCCACCTAGAGGAATTAAACCTAACTGAGAAGACATCGAAAGCAGGGGGTCATAGTCCTCTGTACAATATCCCATCTCCTTTTCACCTGGATAGTGACACAGCTGCTTCCACAGAGGTGAGTTTGGAGCCTAGAGAAAGCTAAATACGCTGTTTCCAGTTGTTTTATAGTGATCAGAATATTGCTGAACACCCACGTTGGCTTCCCGGGCTCTGCTGTCCCCCGTGCGAGCCCGAGTACTTGCCCAAATACTCAGTATCGGCACTGATACCGATACTAGTGATCCGGCATCTGTACAGGTGCCGGATCGCTTGTACAGTGCAGCGCTGTGGGGGACACCCACGTTGGCTTCCCGGGCTCCGCTGTCCCCTGTGCGAGCCCGAGTACTCGCCCAAATACTCAGTATCGGCACTGATACCGATACTAGTATCTGTGCATCCCTAACTACTACTGATAACAATAAAAAAGAAATCTAGTAAACACACAAGCATGTGTACCGTGTCTTCCACCTCCTTCTGAGACTTTAAACTATTGTGATATCTCATGTTTGAGCGAGATAAGTAAGTAAATGTAGCATGACATTGATGCATTTCTTGTTTAAGAGTTCTACGAATGATGCCAGTCATTTCAATCAACAGCAGCTTTCACAAGCGCCGGATGCCCAGCCACTGCCCGCAGGGGGCCCAGGGGAAGCGAGGCAGCTGACAGTGGCGTTGGTGAGGAATCTAGAAGAGAAACATCCCAAGGCCTCAGCTCAAAGGTAAGCCACTGACAGAACAGATATTTATTGTTCAATGACATTAGATGTGTTCCTTCAGTTTCATGTTACATTGATTCTCCAGATAGTATTGAAATATCTCCAGAGCCCTCTGGCTTGCTAGCAAACATTTTTTATTTCCTTGGCAAAATGAATTGGGAATGCCACATTTCTATAAATTTTTACCATGGCGTGTTTGAAGACTTAACATTTCTGCATTGAATATTTCACAAAACTAGTTAGCCTTGTGGTATGTCCTTCTTTTTATTAATTATCACCTAATCTTTATCATCTCTAGTGTGACATTAGAATAAATAAACACACACAGGTGTGGAACCCCCCACATTGGATTCTCCTATCTATGACACTGTAGCAGTGCATTATGCTGGCTTGAGTTCCCAAAGCTGCTTCTAACTATTGCTTCTTCCTCTGACCCCCAGTGGAGTAAAGGGTCAGAGGTATGAACCAGCATTTGACAGGGGACAATCTCTACATTTTGAATGCTAGAAAGGTGAGTGTTTTCTTTTGCAGGGACCTTCTGGCTTAAAGCATTTCGAGACCTAGCAGGGTCTCTTTAAAGAATAGGTTCACTTATAGACAAAGTGCGCTTATTATTTTTGTGTCCCTCCCCTGAACTAAATAGTGCAACCAGTTCTGTGCGCAGATCTATACTTACCAAAATCTGAGGGCCGCTGTTTCACTGTTTCTTGATATCAAGCACTGAAAGTCTCCCTCTACTGACTGCGTCCATCTCTCAGCAGGGAAACAGCCCAATGGAATTCCATGTGTAGCCAGCAAAGAGAGCATTATGGCGCTGGATATAAACAATAGTGGAACCCTGACTGAGGGGGTGGGTAGAATCTTTTAGTTCAGGGTTGGGGGAGCAAAAAGGATAAGTGCATTTTGTTTTAAAGTGCACTTGTCCTTTAAAGAACCTGTTTGAAATTTTCCGGGTTTTTTCTCTTTTTTTTTTTCTTTAGCTTTATAGGAGGGTATAGCTTTATAGGAAATAATTAGCCACAGAGACAGTGACATGTATGTACAGTACTGTTGACCTAGTGGAAAGGTATCATTTGCAGGTTTTGTTGTTATAGATTTATCAATCAATTGTAAACAACTTCGATGGTTGAGCCTGCGCAAGGCTCATTATTACATTTACCAGTTTGGGCAATAATTTGGACATGTCTTCTCTTCCTGGTGGGATTCCAGAAAGATCCCCTTCACATTCTGCGACTAGGGATACAAGGCAATAATAAGATAAAAACTTAAATATATCGTAAAGATTGTCTTCATACTGCCATGTTGTGTTATGCACTGGCCCAACAATGCCTTATTCATAATATGGCACAAGCTATACCCATTACCAATGGCAGTGAATGTGGATTGAGTTCTGAATTAATTTTGTGATTGGTATTCTGCATTTCTTTTAACGAATCCTGACGATTGTGTGGTCGCTTACGTAGCAGACTAAGCAAGGCAATATATGGGAAGGACTTATTTATAATGGGAGGCTACTCAGATATGACATACTGAAAAAGAGGAGTTGCCAAACACAGATCTGTTTTTTTAAATCTTGTGCTTCTTGACTTTTCTTTAAATTGAATGTTAAAGACACTGGCATCCCATTAATTACACGTGTCCAGTTATATGTTTACACTGGGGTATACTTCTGCTTGTTGATTGGAAATTGTTAGGAAAACATGAATTAATTGATAGTATTTTTAATAACTATACACAGGTTAAAGGCCAATGTCACCTTTGCCCCTCTGTCCACCAGTACTTAACCCCACATGTGTTTTTCATTTTTTTAATTTTATACTTCGTTCTTCAGGTCAGTCACATAACATCATCTTTGCTCCTTCTTCAGGGCTGGGCCATCCTCAATGATGCACATGCCCTTACATGATTAGCAATGCAATTCTCTTCATCATTTTACTGTAAGCTCAGAGTGATACCCTTCTACAGGTGGGTCCATGAACCCTGCGCTCACATGAAGTGGGTTGAATAATGCTGCTTTTTTATTTTTATTATTGTTAGGGCACTAGTTGATAAATTATGGAGTTGACCTTTAAGATGTATACCCAAGGGCACTTTTAAAAGGGGCACATATGGTATTATTAAGTATCATAGTAATTTCATACAGCACGGCAATGCTGCCACAGCTAAAGAGTATATTACAACAAACTAACTTAATGGAGTACCTGTTTCCTGTAAATATCCTTCTGCGCATATCAAGAGAGGTGGGCGTCCGCACAAGGATGAACAGGCCAGGTCTGTGCTGGGAGAGAATATTGGCTTGGTAAGAACCATGGCTGATATGTTATTTAAAATTGTGCCTGTGTTATATGGTCAGTTTGAGTGCAAATAGTTCTATGTTAGAAATCGGTATGGTTTAGGTAGCTCTAGAATACCCTCAGAAATAAACAATGCATTTATTTGTATTAGTTCATATTAAATAATTAAAGTTCTTTTTAAATGGCATTATATATGATGTCTAAATATAAAAAAAACATAAAAGATATAGATTGATATCTGTATATAGTGTTTTCTGTAAACTTCCAAAACCCAAATTGTGAGCAATGCGTTTTAACCCGTATGTCTGAAAGAGTTCTAAGATAATTGATTCTAAAAACACTGTCTAAATGGCCGAATGTGTCAGCGGGAGAAATATTAGCCCACACAATAACTTGTAGAGCGGTGGTATTTGAGTATTAATTTGGAAGCAGTGTCTATATTAGCTTATCAAATTAAGTAGCTTACCTATATCAAGAGTGAATAGAGGAGAAGTGTAGCAGCCAACAAAGCCTCCTGACCCAGCTTGTCACCCAGTGACCTGTGAGAAGGAAATAATGAACTGTGAGTAGCTGTCATCCTAACTGCTTCTGACAGTTTGGCTATGGGCACATCTGTGTTACATTCATGAAGAGGTCTTTGTTTTTTTCCCACTAGTGACTCTGCAGACCGCTGTGGGGTTTTCTCGCTGCCCTGCTCCTATATGCGCCCTCCCTTCCTCATGTGAAGA